GTTTGGCAGGCCCAGGCTGAATTTGAACCTGCCACCTTAGGTGTATGTGGCTGATGCCTTAGCCACTTGAGCCACAGGCACCGAGCCTTATTTTATTTTTTTTTAGAGACAGAGTTTTACTTTATCACCCTTGGTAGAGTGCTGTGGTGTCACAGCTCACAACAACCTCCAACTCCTGGGCTTAGGTGATTCTCTTGCCTCAGCCTCCCGAGTAGCTGGGAGTACACATGCCTGCCCCAATGTACAGCATTTTTTTGTTGCAATTTAGCCAGGGCTGGGTTTGAACCCTCCACCTTTGGTATATGGGGCTGGCACCCTACCCACTGAGCCACTAGTGCCACCTGTTATTTTTATTTTTTTAAAAAAACTACATCATAAGCCTTACCAAAGCAAAGCTTTCAAAGAATTAATCAAAAACTCAGATCTGTTTCTCTCCATGAATGAAAGACTTCTCCAATCAGAAGAAAAACCAGATTATAAGCAGTTTTTATTTTTATTTTTATTTTTTCCGATTTTTGGCTGGGGCTGGGTTTGAACCCGCCATCTCCGGCACATGGGGCTGGTGCCCTGCTCCTTTGATCCACAGGCGCCGCCCCAGCAGTTTTTATTTTTAAAAGAATTTGTTCTTGTAGTTTCTTCTTTGAACAAGAGTGCCCAATAATCCTTAGTACAGTCCTAGTTTTACATAACTGTAGCCTTAGAAACATATCTTTAGAAGGAAATTAGGCAAGAGTTTTACTCAATTCTATTTTTTTCTTCCTTAGGGGAGACAGAACAGGTATGAGAGAAATGCTGTTTTTTCCTATTGTCTCTGTTAACAAATAAAAGTAAATCTTGGGTGGCACCTGTGGCTCAGTGAGTAGGGCCCCAGCCCAATATACCGAGGGTGGCGGGTTCAAACCTGGCCCCTGCCAAACTGTAACAAGAAAATAGCCAGGTGTGTGGCAGGTGCCTGTATTCCCAGCTACTTGGGAGACTGAAGCAAGAGAATCACCTAAGCCCAAGAGCTGGAGGTTGATGTGAGCACTCTACTGAGGGTGACAAAGTGAGACTCTGTCTCTTAAAAAAACAAACAAAAAAAAGATAAATCTTGCCTGGAAGTACAAGATACTACTGATAAACGAAAGTCATTTTTTCTGAGAGATTGAGTTAACTCTTAAGGAGACTTTGTGTTTTGGGTTGTGGTTCAGTGGCAGCATTTCATTTGGGATGAACGTATCTTCTGGCACTAAGATGAAGCATTAGAGGTGAGGCAAAGTGTTTGGAAAGGACTCTGGAAGTAGGCTGGTTCCCTGTGGGATACATGTCACAGCAAATCTGCTGTGTCTGGCATATTGGCTGATATTAGCATGGGTGGATCACAGCAAGGTTTGGGGCTCACGGTTCTCATTGGGCTGTACTAGCTGAGCCATCTGAGAACACATTTAAGCTTCTGTGGTTCAGTTTCCCTCGTGTTAACTTTTTGTAATATTAAAATTAATATTTTCTTGGTAATATTGATAAACATCAGTTATTGTAACAGGTAGTAGGTATTGAATCTAAATACTGTAGCTGGAACCAGAGGATTTCTGGAGTTTGTAATTATTGACTGAGATTGTTCATTTTATCAGCATTATCCCGAAATGCAGTTCCAGGATGTAGAAGAATAGTGATAAAGCACTGCCTTCTCCCTCCATTTATATTCTTTTATGAATGATTCTCATGAATACATTTGCAAAATTTAATTGGGGCAGCCTTAATTAGGATCATTGGAGAATGTAAATTTCATTCATATAATCTCTGAGGGCATTTTTACCTTAATCTAGGGTAGGTTTTTTTTTGAGACAGAATTTTACTTTAATGCCCTGGGTAAAGTGCCCTGACCTCATCATAGCTCACAACAACCTCAAAATCCTGGGCTCAATCAATCCTCTTCCCTCAGCCTCCCAAGTAGCTGGGACTATAGGCAGCTGCCATGATGCCTGGCTAATTTTTCTATATTTAGTAGAGATGGAATCTCCTTTGCTCAGGCTGGTCTCATACTTCCTGAGCTCAAGGGATCCATTAGCTTGGCCTTCCAGTGCTATGATTAAGGTGTGGGGTGATTGAGGGGCTCATGCCTTTAATTCTAGCACTCTCAAAGGCCAAGGCAGGTGGATTGCCTGAGCTCATAGGTTCAAGACCAGCCTGAGCAAGAGGAGCAAGACCCCAGCTATTTTTAGAGATGCTATTTTTAGGGCTCTGGCCATATACACCAAAGCTGGTGGGTTCAAACCTGGCCTGGGCTAGCTAAACAATGACAGTTGCAGGCTAGGTGCTTCTAGCACAGTGGTTATGGCACCAGCCACATACAGTGAGGGTGGCGGGTTTGAACCTGGCCTGGGCCAGCTAAACAACTGCAACAAAAAAATAACTGGGCATTGTGGTGGGCACCTGTAGGTCCAGCTACTTGGGAGACTGAAGCAAGAGAATCACTTAAACCCAAGAGTTGGAAGTTGCTGTGAGCTGTGATGCAGCAGTACTCTACTGAGGGCAACATAGTGAGACTGTGTCTCAAAAAAAAAAAAAAATGACAATTACAACAACAACAACAACAAAAATAGCCAGGCGCTAATGGTGGGTTCCTATAGTCCCAGCTACTTGGGAGGCTGAGGCAAGAGAATTGCTTAGATCTAAGAGTTTGAGGGTGCTGTGAGCTGTGATGCGACAGTACTCTACTAGGGGCAAGAAAGTGAGATGCTGTCTCAAAAAATATATATATAAAAATAGAAATAAAATATTGGTGCATTGGGATAGGCATGTTGGCTCATGCCTCTAATCTTGGGAGTATCCCAGGAGGCCAAGGTGGAAGGATTGCTTGAGGTCAGGAGTTTAAGATCAGCCTGAGCAAGAGCAAGAGTGAGACCCCGTCTCTACTAGAAATAGAAAAGTTAGTTGGGAATTGTGGTAGGCATCTGTAGTCCCAGCTATTCTCGGGGCTGTGGCAGGAGGATTACTTGAGCCTATCAGTTTAAAGTTGCTGTGAACTAGGCTGGGCTAGAGGCCATGGCACTCTAGCCCAGGTGATAGAGCAAGCCTCTGTCTCAAAAAACTTTTTTTTGTACTTTGCATTTGTCTACTTTCAGGCAGGTAGGATAGAAAATCAGCTTAGAAAATCATCCAGTTTTTCTTTTGATTCCTATTTTTTTTTCTTTCATAGATTCTTCTGTGTGACCATGAGAGAGAGAAAAATGATCCATGATTTTTAAATACCTTTTCCTGAGGATATAGTCATGTTGGAAGGTCTTGTAGCCTGGGTTCTCAATACCTATTTGGGGAAATATGTCAATAACCTGAACACTGACCAGCTTTCAGTCGCACTTCTCAAAGGTGAGTACCTATATTTCTCTTTGGTAAAGTATTGCTTTGCAAGTGGCATTTCTGTTTTTTGTATAATTTATATTGTATCAAGAATCATAAAACCTGATCCCAAGGGTGGCGCCTGTGGCTCAAAAGGGTAGGGTGCTGGCTTCATATGCTGGAGGTGGTGAGTTCAAACCCAGCCTTGGCCAAAAACTGCAAAAAAATAAAAATAAAAAAACCCAACAAAATAAGAAAAAAAACAAAACCAAAAACCTGATGCCAAATGGCTTTGCAGTAAATATGTGTAAAAAGGTAATATATTTTCCCACATGACTCTGATAATTATTACCAGGTAACTTAAGTATGTAGCTATATTGCTGTAGAAGATTTTAAGGAACTTTTAAGTTTTTTTTTTTTTTTTTTTTTGAGACAGAGTCTCACTATGTGGCCATCGGTAGAGTGTAGTGCTGTGGCATCACAGCTTCTAGCAGCCTCAAACTCTTATTAGGCTTATGCAAGTCTCTTGGCTCAGCCTCCCAAGTAGCTGGGACTATAGGCGCCCGCCACAATGCCCGGCTATTTTTTTTGTTGTTGTTGTTGCAGTTGTTATCGTTGATCTTAGCTGGCCTGGGCTGGGTTGGAACCTGCCAGCCTCAGTGTATGTGGCCAGTGCCCTACCCACTGAGCTAATGGGGCTGCCCAAGCCTCAGTTTCTTTTTCTTTTTTTTGAGACAGAGTCTCAGTATGTTGCCCTTGGTAGAGTGTCATGGTGTCACAGCTCACAGCAACCTCAAACTCTTGGGCTTAAGTGATTCTCTTGCCTCAGCCTCCCAAGTATCTGGGACTATCGGCACCTGCCACAATGCGCGGCTGTTTTTTTGTTGTAGTTTTCTTTTTTTTTTTTTTGAGACAGAGCCTCAAGCTGTTCCCCTGGGTAGAGTGCCGTGGCATGACAGCTCACAGCAACCTCCAACTCCTGGGCTCAAGCGAGTCTCCTGCCTCTGCCTCCCAAGTAGCTGGGACCACAGGCGCCCGCCACAA